TTTCGGTCAGACATTTGGTGGCTGCCTAGGGTAAAGTGCAAATTAATAGAACAACAAAAACAAAAACACCTTAAGGTATTATAAGCGGGCGTTATAGATCATAACGCCCGCAAAAGCGGGCATTATGGATCAGGTTGTTATAGGTGTGTTAACGTATTTCGTTTCCTAGGTATTATGGATCTATAATAGTAAAGTAGAAAATAAATAAATAAACAGATATAACCTTTGGTAAGTTTAGCACCACGACCCTTTTTATCTTTGATATAAAATGGGCCACCATAATCTGTACCTACGTTTTCTAAAACATTAAAACTATTTACGCGTATTGCCGGAAGATCTCCCATTAAATAAGACATGTTCTTAGGTCGTGCTCTAAAGCATCTTATACATTTATGTACAATTCGACGGCAAACACTGCGACCAGAAAGTGGCCAGTATCGCTGTCGAACTGAATATAGCAATGCCTGAGCCCCACAATGCATAAGCCTTTTATGTTCTTCTTCAATAACATATTGTGTTAGCGAGTGATTAGATGGTAAAATAATTGGATATTTTATTTCATCCATCCGAGTTGAATTCTTTAACCGACCGCCAACACAAATAATGTTATTTCTTAATATAGGGTTCAAGCTTAAAATTTTACTTTTAGGAGAAATCGCCTTTCCTGCGTATAAATTATGATATTCATCAGGAAAACTTTCAATTTGAGCTTCTCTAAGTAACAACCATAGTGAACGGTCAATTTCTTCTGGTCGCAAAAATCCAAATAATTCTTTTTTAACTTCTTTATTTTTTAAAATTAAAATAAAACGAAATGCAGAAGATAATGTGTGTAATATTTCTGGTAAAATGGACCCATCCTTGGAAAGTCTGTAGAATAATGTATTACTATTGTCATTAACAAGACATGATACGCTTTTTTGTTCTGGAACTTCTTTAATTATGGAACATGGTGGAAACAACCATTGTGATTGATCTTTTCATAGGAAAGAAGGACCATGCCACCATAATTCATGATTGATAAGAATTTGAGGAGTAGTTCCACGTGATAATAAATCGGCTGGATTGTCGTTAGTTGGAACATAATGCCAATTATTCTTTTTCGTTAGCGTCTGAACGTCACTAACACGATTAGCGACAAACGTCTTCCAGGATGAAGATTCACCACGAATCCAGCACAAAACAATCATGGAATCACACCAATAAAAATATGTGTTGAACGTTAGCTCCAAACCATTTATCACCTTTTGAGATAAATTTGCTAGCAGGTGTGCCGCACACAATTCAAGTCGGGGTAGGGTCACTTGTTTCAGAGGAGCAACACGACTTTTTGCACATAAAAGATTGACAAAATACTTGCTAGGAATAAAAGTGCACCGCATATAAATGCAAGCTCCATATGCCTTAATGGATGCATCACTGAAGCCATGCAATTCAATATTAATGTACTGGGAAATTGTTACATAACTACTGATTTTAAAATTATTTATAAACCCAACATTACTCTGAAATGCTTTCCAAACTGAGATTATTCTCTCTGGTAAATTCTCATCCCATGTCCCATGCTAATTTATGCTTCCAAATATTTTGAATTATTAGTTTAGCAACAATAATTATTGGCCCTAATAAGCCTAAAGGATCAAATATCTGGGAAACAATTGACAAAATGGTTCTTTTTGTAATAATCTTTAATGAAAAAGCTTCTAAATTTAGTTTATAGTTTATGGAATCAGTGTGTGCATCCCAGAATATACCAAGAGTTTTATTTGGTTCATTTTCACCAATTTTTAAAATATTTAAATCAAGATCTTTATTTACTTTAAATTTATCTAAAATTTCCTTATCATTGTACAGCCACTTACGAAGTTCAAATCCAGAGTTAAGTAGAGCATTAGAAACATTTTTCTGAATATACAAAATTTCTTCCTCTGTTTTAGCCCCAGTTAAAAGGTCATCCATATAAAAATCCCGTTTTATAATAGTACTTACCACTGAATCCCCTTTAATTTGATCTGCTATGTCAAATAGACATTTTACCGCCAAATAGGGGGCAGAAGCATTTCCATAAGTGACTGTATGTAGTTTGTAACATCTTAATTCTTGCTCGGAACTCGAGCTCCAAAATATTTTCTGATATTTCTGATCCTCTGGATCTATTAAAATCTGACGGTACATTTTATTTACGTCACCCGTCATCACATATTTATAAGTTCGAAATCTTGCCAGAATATCAAAAATATCTTGTTGTAAAGTCGGCCCTGCAAACTGAACATCATTCAATGATAATCCTGACGAAGTTTTACAAGAGGCGTCAAATACCGTGCGAACTTTAGTAGTCAAACTGCTATTCTTAACTACTGCGTGGTGAGGCAAATAATATCCTCTATCTTGGTCATCAATATCATTATATTCTGACATGTGCTTTAAATTAATATACTCTGTCATAAATTCTATATAAGCCCGTTTTAATTCAGAATTATTATTTAATTTCCTTTCTAATAAATAAAAGCGTCGTAGAGCGACGTTACCACTTTAGGAATCATCATCTGCGGCTCAGATGAATCTGGTTCCGGCGTCGTTAAACTAGAATTATTTACCTGAGACCTGTTTCCACCACTGGTACCAAGAATATCGGAATGCAGTAAAGTGTTATGTGCCTTTCGACATTTCATACATTTATTTAACTTACATTTCCAGGATCGGTGTGTATGTCTCAAACAATTTAAACATAATTTTAGTTTTTTCACCGTATGAATTCTTTTTTCCACAGAAAGCCGCAAAAATCCATCACATTTAAAAATACTGTGATTTTGATCACAATAATAACATTTAATTTTATTCTGATTATCCAAAGCTGGAAACACATGACCAACATGTCTTTTAGACCTTTGTATTAGGAGCTTTTCATTATTAGCAATTTCCAGTTTTTCCAAAATTTCGCATTTTGATTGGTAAATCTCCTTGATAATTAAAGTTTTCCCAGTCACGACGTGTTACTGGATCTAATTTATTTGACAAAATATAAATAATCAATCTGTCCCAGGAGTCGACATTCTCCCCTAAACTTTTTAATGCGCGTAAATGGTTAGTGGTTGTGTCATATAAATTTCTTAAACCTTTATGAGATTCAATCGTCAAAACTGGATATTGAAAAATACTGTGAATATGATTATGTATCATCAGAGCCTTATTCTCAAATCTATCTGCTAACATTTGCCTTGCTATTTTATAGTTGTTAGCAGTTACCTCAAGTGACTGAATTACCTCAAGAACATTCTCCTCCAATGAGGATCTCAAATAATAAAACCTTTGTGTATCATTAAGTGTTACATTTACATCAACTAAGCTTGAAAATGATTCTTTAAATTGCAACCAGCCAGAATACTCGCCCTTAAACCTAGGTAGTGTTATGGGTGGCAGCCTTACCACAGGTTGTGGATTAGAGTTTGAAGCTAACTTTGCAAAATTACTGTTACTCGCTATACTTGCATCAGAATTGACACCAGAAGCATTGTCTGAATTATTGTTAAACATTTTACAAAGTGACTTGGCTTTACTAGTAACTCTATAAAATTTATTTTCAAAATCTTGCTCTTCTGCGAAAAGCTCTTGTTCTTGATCATTATTAAAAGAAATTAACTCTAAAATTATTGTACTAAATTCATCCAAAATGCTTTCTATATTAATTAATCTACTTTTTATTTCTGAAACTAGTTCTTCAGATAAAGCATCTTCAGTACACTGTTCCAAAAAGTTTTGGAACCTAGAGAGTTTACTCTTGAGAGAAGTCTTTTTTGTCTTTAATTTCGATTCCTCGGTCATTTTAATAGTTCAGACAAAAAATACTTAATAAAATTCTCACAAATACTCACCCTCTATGCTTACCTTATGCCCAGTCGAGAACCCCTGTGGAACGTGCCAACTTTCGTTGTCTTCCGGTTCTGGTGCTGTCACCGCTGTCGTATCGTTTCACTCAATTTTTTCAAATTTACTTAGAATTCATCAAATGAATGAAATTCTTGACTGAATATTCGCCTCACTATCCGGTACGATTGGACCAATGTTATGATCGTGATGAATAACTCAATAAATGGACTGTATTAAAATATTTACTGGAAAACTGGAGGACGATATAATTAAATTGACTAGTTCAGCCACGTTGAGCACAGAACATATCACCTCTAGAAAAGTATCTGCAATGGTATGTACCGGTTATGAATTACAGCGCCATCGTTGAATGAAAACCCAACTAATCGAGCATTCTTGACAAAAAGGCGAATCTATTTTTTCCCTATATTTTTATTATTTTTAAATAATTTTTAATGCTCAACTGCATTTGGCTTGCTGACTCCTTTTAGCTCTTTTCGCCTCATTTTCTTGAAAACTATGACTGGCAGGAAGTTTCCAATGTCGAATATAGTGCAAAGAGAGTTAGTAAGTTAGCAAGCGACACGCAGCTATAGGTAGATCGCAAAGTAAATACGAATAATAAATACAAATACGAACAAAAATTAGGGTTTTTTTCAACCAAAACTTTTTGAATTTTCACTTTAACGCGCGTAGGGGCCGTGGGGTACCACAACACAATTTAAAAATTCAAATTTTGACTTTTGAAATGACAAAATAAATGACAAAACCAACCAACACAAATCACTGTCCACACCACAGATACCTGTAAATTTCTCTTATCTCCCGACAGTGTCGCCATCGTTGATTGAAAACCTAACTAAAAACCTTCGTCGCGATTCTCCCATTTGAGATATTTTTCTATAGGTGATTATGTTCTGTGACGTTGAGTGAAGCTAATGACAATTTCATAAAATTAACATTGTGACCATATTATTAATTAATGCTTGGCCTAGACAAGTAGGTATGACAGTATTTTATTGTTGGCTTCTGGATATTTATTGTATAACACAACCTAGGTAGTTTTCTCAAGCTTTTGTATTGAGGGAAGTAAAAAGAAATACATAATATGAGAGCCACTGTAAAATAATATATTAAGATACTGATTAAAGAAACTGTTGAAACATTGTAGGTACTTTATAAATTCTTAAAAACAAGATTTTCAAACACAAAAAAAAAAAAAAACGAAACGTAAATTTAGAAATTTTTTGATAATGACTAGAAACTCTATAATAGTATATTACATACCGAGTGGGGAAGTGTTTCATTACAATCATCACTGTCGAGAGATTTATATAGTCAATCGAGACGCGAAGCGACAGAAATGAAAACGTTCCTCCGAGGTTTGTATACTATTTTATTTGCAGGCACACCAATAATTGAAGATAAGGTATTTCATTTTTTAAAATATATAAAAAAATAAAACATGCCAAAATGTCTTTTACAAAATATTTATTGTGGCCTTTGGGATCCGTCTCCTTTTTTATTTGCCATTGCGTCGATTAATTCCGAAGACGTTGTTTTCAATTCGTAGGCCCAACCAATTTTTGCAAACAAGTTTAACCAGAAAGTGGTAACGTTCAGCGGCGATCCAATCTCTGCTGCTCTATAATCCCACGGGAACGAATGGTGATAATTGTGCCAGCCTTCGCCCATTGCGACAAATGAAACGAATTTGTTTTCAACTGGTTGTATGCCCCTAAAATTTTTTTTCAAATTTATTTTGTTACATAATGAAGAATTTTTTAACTTGCTTGTTGTACGGTTTCTTTCCCCAAATATGCGCGAAGCTATTTACAGACCAGGTGAAGTTCAAGTTAAGAGAATAGCGAATAATGCAGTTAATCCAAAATGCCGTTTGCCATGATCTGCCGAAGAAAAATGGTGGAATAGCGGTGGGTAAGATGAAACAGAATATGGTCTTTATAATTATCCAGTGCCTGAAAAAAAAAAGATGTTATATTTTCATCATAAGTTGTTGAGGGTAAATTCGTCCCTATCAATTCAAAGGGGCGTATTTCAAAAAATAAAGTTTTTTAGATAAGCCTGCTAAACATACTTATTTTAGGTCTATTATTTAATGACATAGGGGCGTAAGTACCCTTCAGTTTGCAGATAAACGAAATAGGTTATGGCGTAACTCATAAAATTAAATTTCAAAATACGACGAACGGGCGGATTTCGACTTACGCCCGCCGGTCAGTCATATACTCCATTGGAAACAGTTGAGATACGCCTAGGGGCTATTCGGGGCCATATTATTGTAAATAATTGATGCATCATTAGGCGTTTTCGGAAACTCTGATCCGATTAACCCGATCACAGCTGCTTGTTTTTTATCTTTCCTTAATGAACACGATTGAAAAGAGACAAAGTACAGGGTGGCCCAAATTCGAGCTTCATCATTGGGATCTCCGAAGTCGTAAGAGATACACGGTCGGTTAAATTATGGCAAAGTTGCGAATTTTGATGCTTAACAAAGTGCCGCTTCGAATTTAGGATATTCTGAATACTTCCAGAGATATACGGAAAAAACTGAAATTTCGCAAAATTGTTTTTATTTTGTCCTGACCTTATTTGAAGTGATATTTAAAAAAAAAAATCACTTCATCATAGCCACTTTTCTTCCCTACAAAATGCTACCATTAAAATCTGACGTTTCGTCTTTGGTCCACCATCATCTACTTTAATTTTGAAGTGAAAACTTCTTTAGAATCGTTGGGAGTGATTTGAGACTCGATGAAACGAAAAAGCGCCCCTAAATATGAAACGAAAAAGCGACCCAATGAAACGAAACGAAAAAGCAAGACTTTTTCAACACGCTTATAATAACACACAACACACAACAAGAACCTGGAACAAGCCAAGTGAGCTGGAACAAGTCTGGATAAATCTGGATGAAGTCTGGAAAAGTCTGGAAATCTCTGGAAACGTCTGGGAAGAGCCTGGAAATTTCTGGAAAGGGTCGGAAAAATTCTGCCAAAGGTCCCAAAAGACCTGGGCATCATTTTCCAGAATCCGGATCAGTCTGTACACGTCTGGATAATGTCGGGATAATGTCTGGATAAATCTGGATAAAGCCTGTAAAACTTTGGATAAGTCTGGTTATTAGTAGTGTTCAAAGCCCGATTCGGATTCACCCCCCACTCCTCTGACGTCACATTACCTTGACGCCACCCCCCACTCCTCTGACGTCACATGACCTTGACACCACCCTCCACTCCTCTGACGTCACATGACCTTGACACCACCCCCCACTCCTCTGACGTCACATGACCTTGACACCACCCCCCACTCCTCTGACGTCACATGACCTTGACACCACCCCCCACTCCTCTGACGTCACATGACCTTGACACCACCCCCCACTCCTCTGACGTCACATGACCTTGACCTTGACCTTGAAATGTGACCTTGAGCGCCTCCCATTTATTCCCTGGTACCAAAAAAAGTTCCCAGGCTCAAGTGAAATTTCAGATTAAAGGCGCTAACAATCTGGAAATTTTCCCACGGTACCAAAAAAGTTCCCACGCTCAAGTGAAATTTCAGATCAAAGGCGCCGTCGATCAAGAGATTTTCCCGCGGTATTGAAAAAGTTCCCAGGCTCAAGTGCCCCCGCAGACGTGTGCATCCTTGAGTCGACCTTGACGCCCTTGACCTTGAGTTGCTCAAGGTCAGTTGTGCGACCCATAAGTTGGTATGTGAACTTGAGTCGACGATAACCTTGGTTAATACATTTAAATATTTAGTACGAGAATTTTTGCAGAAAGATTTCTTCCAATCGCCCCGGAACAATAACAATGGTTTACGTTTGTGAAAATTGTGGTGTATCATTCAGTCGTAATTACAGTATGATGCGGCATATGAGGGAATCCTGCAAAGCCCGATTTATGGTTGGTGATGCTGGTGGAAAGCAACCCAGGTTAGATGGAGCTGCATCAACAGCATCTATGAAGACATGTGCCGCATGCAATGTATCAATACCCTCAAATTTGATGATGGCTCATCAGAGGACGACACAACATAGAAATAATTCCTGCATACCTTTATGTGATGGTGTACAACGGGTGGACAGCGCTTTCAGAAGCAGGATTGCAACATACCGCATAAGCAGCGATACCGAACACATTGACTTTACAGTATTTTTCAATGATGTTATGCTGAAAGTGCTGAATGTGTTAGAGCAGATGTTGGGATTTCATGGTGCATTAAAAGTGAATATGGTTGTGATTGGACAATACTATCACCCGACACTAGATGTGAACACAGAAAAATCATTTAATACTTGCAATAAAATTGTTGCTGTTGGAAGCGTTCTAAATGAACTTTACCAATCATTTGTTGAAGCAATGAAAACACAATCAAGAGAGTTTCAGGAGAGAGATTCGGGTATGTTATAATGAGTGAGTAGATTTAAGCAAATTATTAATTGAAATCTTTCACTTACAGGATGGGCTTTAAGGAAAATTCTTTATTTGGAGGTTAACATCAATCAGTTCAGACCTATCGGTGGCTCATCCTACATCAAATTACCCAAAAGCATTGAAATGAGAGGCGCCACCGTTAATGTGATAAACCAGGACCAGTGTTGTTTTGCTTGGGCTGTCACATCAGCATTGTTTCCCGCTGCTAGAATGATGTCACAGATTACGTCTTACCCACACTATTCGAGAGTTTTAAATCTAGCAGGTATGGTTTTTCCAGTAAAGTTATGTGACATAAAAAAGTTTGAGGAAATGAATGATATATCAGTCAATGTGTATGGATTGCAATCATTATTCGAAAATAATAAATTAAAATACGAAATTGTTGGTCCATTATGGTATTCGGGTAGAAAACTGCGACAACATGTCAATTTGCTGTTGGTAACTGAAGATTGTCACATCAGAAGTGATGGTGATGAACGACATAGTTGTGATATCAACTGTTCCAAAAGTCATTATTGTTGGATAAAAGACTTGTCACGCTTGGTATCCAGTCAGATATCAAATCAAGAAAATAAATTATACTTTTGTGACGGTTGTCTCATTCATTTCGACTCACCATCAAAGTTGATGATGCATCAACAAAATGATTGTAATCATGTATACACATTGACACCAACAAGCGATTCAAAGACTGATAAATTTGGAAGCCTTGTATCGGAGAACATAATGAAATTTGAAAATATTGAAAAACAAATGCGTGTTCCATTTGTGGTTTATGCGGACTCGGAATCGATTTTAAAACCAATGGATACTAGCGAACCAAACCCTCATAGCTCTTACACATTGAAAAGCGTCAAACATGAACCGTATTCTTTCGCATATCTTATAAAATGCTCCTTTTATGATTCAGTTTCTAAGTTTGAGCTATATCGCGGAAATGACGCAGCCCAAATTTTTGTTTCTCGGTTGGAAAGCGATTTGAGACATCTTTATAACACCTATTGTAAAGATATTAAACCAATGAATCGTCTAACACCTGACGAAGAGTTGGATTTTAGAAATGCAACAACTTGTGGTATTTGTGAGAAACCATTTGAAGAGAATGATATTAAAGTAAGAAATCACTGTCATATAACGGGGAAGAAAAGATTTGGTGCTGCTCATTCTATTTGTAATTTAAACTATAAACTACCTAATTTTATCCCCATTATATTTCACAATTTGAGCGGGTATGACTGTCATTTGTTTATTAAAGAATTGTGTCACCATGGTGATAAAATTAATGTTATAGCTTAGAGCAAGGAAAAGTAAATATCGTTCACAAAGAGTATTTACGTACACGACTACATGGATAAAAAAACTGGTTCATTGAAAAGAAAAAATTTAAAGTTACGGTTTATCGATAGCTTTAAATTTTTATCGGCATCTTTGGAAAATTTGGGTAACGGATTGGAAATTGATAGTTTCAGGGAAGCACGTAGGCATTTTTCCAATAATGAGGAATTCAGTTTAGTTCGTCAAAAGGGTGTTTTCCCCTATAGTTTCTTTGATTCGCTGGAAAAAATGAATTACCCAACTCTTCCAACAAAAGACCAGTTTTTTGATACTCTACGTGATGAGGATATTAGCGATGAATCTTACGAAAGAGCAAAGAAGGTTTGGCGTTTGTTTCAGTGTAAGAACTTGGGTGAATATTCAGACGTGTATCTAAAGTCGGACGTAACACTATTGAGTGATGTTTTCGAACAATTTCGCGATACATGTCTGAATGTTTACAAACTAGATCCCGCACAATATTATACACTTCCAAGTTTATCATTTGATTGTATGTTACGTATGACTAAAGTAGAGTTGGAGCTATTGACTGATATTGATATGGTTCACTTTTTCAAAAAGGGTATTCGCGGAGGTATAAGTCAGTGTACTGAAAGGAAGCATGTAGCAAATAACAAATACTTACCAGATTATGATCCCACGAAACCATCATCATTTATCACATATCTTGATGCAACAAATTTATATGGGCACAGTATGTCGCAAGCATTACCATTCGGCGGTTTTAAATGGTTATCTCATCAAAAAATAAATGATTTAAATATTATGGATGTTGATGATGATGATCTAGAAGGCTATGTTTTAGAAGTGATGTGTGTTATCCGGAAGGTTTGCATGATGCTCATGCTGACCTCCCCTTTTTAGTGGAAAGTATTGTTCCGCCCATAGAATCAGCAAAAATGAAAAAATTAATTCCAAACC